AGCGGACTCTGAAATGTCACCTGGGAGAACAGGATCCGCTGAGGGCCCGAGTATACCCAGCAGGCTAGTCCGTGGAGAACGGGTTGGCAGTGGGGGGAGACTTACAGGCTGGTATCTCTTTACAATGAAAGCGTCGCGAACACAGAAAAAGGAACCAATGAAGAAGAAATGAAAGCCTGATCCTGCAGGTACTGCATTTACCTTGCCTTCAGTGAGCTGTAGGCCAGGGCCAGCGGTATTGGCCCCTTAACCGGCAGTGAAATGTTCGCTAGTGTGCTGTAACGTTTATAAAGCATTCCTTTTGAAACACTTGATATTGTTATGACAAAGGAATTCCCTGTATTTGGTGTTCACTGAGTGATTTCAGAGTGATTTTTAAGGCTCCCTCGATGTTTTACAGTAGTCATTTAATACTCTATGTAAATGCTGCCATCTCTGGCGCGGAGCACGGTGGCCATCTTGCCTCACCATCATTACATAAACTAAAGACAAAGCCCAAGACTATGGAATAAACTCCCATCAGAGCTAAGGCCTATCACAAACCTCACCAGCCTCTGCTCTAAAGGCTCGTCTACACGGCCCTGCAGTTTGGACTACAGGGGTGTAAACTGTAGTGCCGCACTGTGATTATCCTACGAGTGCGGACGGAAAGTGACCTAGTTCACATTAATGTAGTCCACCTCTGGTCATGTGAACTAAAGACCTTCTTAGTTTGCCCTTGCAGGGTCTACACAGGGCGGGTGCAGTGCAACGTTGTGGTGCACACTGCAGCATTTACCCCGGTCGTCTGACCTGCGGGGCCATGTAGATGTGCTTGGGGCAGTTTTTAGACCTTGCCTTCTCTGAGATAACCACAGAGCTGGGTGTGTATCCAGCCTGGACGCTCCTGCAAACACTGCTCCCCCTGGGGAGAGAACAAATGCTCCAGCTCTTAGTCACAGTGTTTAATGCACGGCCGGGAGGTGCTCCAATGCTCTGGGGAGGGGTGAGAACCTGTATAGAACAGACTACAGCCCCCAAAGTAAAACTACACACGCTATTGCTGTAATGCCTGCAGCCTCCTGCCTTTCCTTGGAGGTCTGGTCTTCCATCCAGTACTGACCAGGTGCCATTTTACTGAGCTGGTAACAGTCCCAGCCCAAAAGGAGGCATGTTTGTGTGCCGCATGTTGATGGATAAAATCCGTGTGAGAGCAGGAGTGTCACGTTTGGGGGACTGTCAAACGAATGCTGGGAGGGGCTAGGGAAGGCTGGAAAATAGCCTGTTGGTGATGTGAAGCCCTCTCAGCCCTTCCTCTGGCTCCTTGTTAACTGAGGTAGAGCCGGGAGCTGGCTTCCTTGTGCAGCATCCCAGCCTGTGTGTGTCCTGCCGTGGCTGGGACCGGCCAAGGCTGCCAGCCTCACCAAGTGGGAATTTGTGTCTCTGCAGAAGCTGGGGGCCCTGAGTCTCATGCCGCTTGGGGAGTGGGGCTGGTGGGAATGATTATTGGGCCCTAGGGCATGGCTGTGACGGACGGGGCTTAGGGACGGCCCTCCCCACACAGGCCTGCACTGGGGTTAGCATTTAGCAGGTGGGGCAGGAACATTCAGATATTCATTTCCCTTATTTTACTGCCATGGTGGGGCCAAAGAGCCTGATCCTTCCCGAGGTGTTCTCCTCTCTGTGCCTTTCCTCTCACGGGCCGGGCCAGCTTCTGCTCCTCGCATTGGGCCAGGCTCTTCCCAGAAGCTGCTTTTCCAGGCCAGCCCCATGGCTCAGGGGCCTGGCAATGGAGGGGGAGATTTTCCCCTCCTGGAGCAATGGTTCGGATCCGGGGCAAGTGGCTGATGGCGGGGTGGGAGTTGGGTTTCTAGCCGGCTCCCAGCTGCAGCCCGGGCCCCAGGGCTTTGCCTGGCAGATCTCGCCTCAGGCCCGCTTAGGGTGACCACCCAGCACATGTGAACAATGGGGACGGGGTGGGGGGTAATAGGAGCCTATATAAGACCCAAACAGTGGGACTGTCCCTATAAAAGCGGGCAGCTGGTCCCGCTGGCCCCAGTGCGGGGAGCGGCCCGGGGTTCAGGGGAACAGGAACCCGGGGGAGGGCGGTGGCGGTTAAAAGCAAACCAGGCCAATGC